ATTTTGAATTTATTTCTTTCCTTCTGTCTCTTCTCTGTCTTCTGTGAAATTCCCTAATCTAACAAAACTAACCATCCCCTACCCCTTAACATTGATTTTGTTGTAATTTCCTTGAATTTGTGTGCTTTGTTTCATTGTTTTGAATTTTTACTAATCTCGTCTCAGTTGTATATTTTCAGGCACTCGGACGTGGTACAACGCGGGAGCACCCAGCCAGCCAGCCGCCACCACCCAGCCAGCCACAGATGAAGAGGAAGGAGCCCATTGCCCAGCTTTGTCTAGCGGCTTACATTTGCCAAGGCGGTGAGTAAAGGGCTGCTTTTGTATCACTTCTGGATCCCTGTTTTGCATTATAACTTGATCAGAGCAGCTATTGTTCTTCTTTTGACCTCCTGATTTTCTGTGTTTTCAGAAGCGTCGATTCCACCGAAACGTTCAGCAGCATTCTGGGAAGCAAGGATCGACTGCGACTGCACATTGAAGAGAGGGTAAGATTGGTGTCCAACCTGAATTTACTGTGTTGATTTATCTTTTCCTCATCTCACTTGATGAAGACTGTGATCTCTTGATGTCTTGTCTTTCTACTGTAGATATGCAGTGTGATGCATTCCTCTGTTCACAGTCCTTTGAAAAGGAGTCTGCCAACCCAGGGACGGTAAGATACTTTGTGCAGGCCTCGCTCTCTGTGAACTTTCTTCATTTTGACTGTTTGAGTCTTGGCACACATTTTTGACTTCTCCACCTTTGGTGTCAACAGGTCAGGGTTTGGCTGTTGTGTATTCCCAGATGATTAATGGACTGCAGCCGGCCAGAAGAAGTGCGTAGAGTTCAGGGACCTACTGCGGCCAACTCCAGCATTGAAGGTAAGTGGAAGCGCAATAAGTGTACCAGTTTATTCTGTGGACTTTTGTTACTACTTCCTTGTTGTGGGAGTGTTTCTTAGGGTTGACCTGTGAACATCTTTGTTAACAGGTATGGGTTGGACTGGCCTGGTTGCGTGGAAGAAGAGCAGACCGTCACCTGTAGCAGCAGTTCTGTGATGCACTGCAGTTAATCCCTGACGTGCAGGTAAGACGCAGCATATCTTGCAGTGTGTCCACTTTCGTTACTCTGTGTTTGTGTTAAATGGTATCATAACTTTGCTGTTTGCACTCGCTGAAATTTTGTCAACTCTAAGGAATTTGTTTTGATGTCTTGATTGCTTTGTTAGCAGAAGAAGAGGTGTATGCTGACCGGGAAGGATCCCAACAGCAGTCAAGGAGAGAAGAGGAGGTAAGATTCACACTGTACATCTTACAGCCTTTTGTGATCTTGACCTTGCCAAATGATGTTGAACGTCTCTACACTTGACCTCTTGACTTCCAATTGACAGGATGCGCAGCAAGCAGCCCAGCCCAGCCCAGCCCAGCCCAGCCCAGCCCAGCCCAGACCAGCCAGCCCACCACAGCCCAACCTAGGACCCAGCACAGCCCAACCCAGCCCAACCGAGGATCCAATTCCGCTACAGGAAACCTAACAGAGAAGCATTTTGAATTTATTTCTTTCCTTCTGTCTCTTGTCTGTCTTCTTTGCACTTCCCTAATCTAACAAAACTAACCATGCCCTACCCCTTAACATTGATTTTGTTGTAATTTCATTGAATTTGTGTGCTTTGTTTCATTGTTTTGAATTTCTACTAATCTCATCTCAGTTGTATATTTTCAGGCACTCGGACGTGGTACAACGCGGGAGCACCCAGCCAGCCAGCCGCCACCACCCAGCCAGCCACAGATGAAGAGGAAGGAGCCCATTGCCCAGCTTTGTCTAGCGGCCTACATTTGCCAAGGTGGTGAGTTACAGGCTGCTTTGGTAGCACTTCTGGATCCCTCTTTTGCCTTACGACTTGATTAGAGCAGCTAGGGTTCTTCTTTTGACCTCCTGATTTTCTGTTTTTTCAAAAGCGTCGATCCCACCGAGACGTACAGCAGCATTCTTGGGAGTAAGGATCGACTGCGACCGCACATGGAAGAGAGGGTAAGATTGATGTCCAACCTGATTTTACTGTCTTTGTTTCATCTTTTCCACAGCTCACTTGATGAAGACTGTGATCTCTCTTAATGTCTTGTCTTTCTACTGTAGATATGCGGTTTGATGCAGCCCTCTATTCCCAGTCCTTTGAAGAGGAGTCTGCCAACCCAGGGACGGTAAGATGCTTTGTGCAGGCCTCGCTCTCTGTGAACTTTCTTCATTTTGACTTTTTAGTCTTTGCACTCTTTTTTGACTACTCCACCTTTGGTGTTAACAGGTCAGGGTTAGGCTGTTGTGGATACCCAGATGAATTGTGGACTGCGGCCTGCCAGAAGTGCAAAGAGTTCAGGGACGTACTGCGGCCCACTCCAGCATTGATGGTAAGAGGATGCGCAGTGAGTGTACACCTTTTATTCCGTGAACATTTGTTACTACTTCCATGTTGTGCGTGTGTTGCTTGGGGTTTGACCTTTGCACATCTTTGTTAACAGGTATGGGGTTGGACTGGTCTGGTTGCGTGGAAGAAGAGCAGACCGTCACCAGTAGGTAGCAGTTCTGTGATGCACTGCGGTCAATCCCTGACGTGCAGGTAAGACGCAGCATGCAAATCTTGCAGTGTGTCCACTTTCGTTACTCTGTGTTTGTGTTAAATGGTATCATAACTTTGCTGTTTGCACTCGCTGAAATTTTGTCAACTCTTAGGAATTTGTTTTGATGTCTTGATTGCTTTGTTAGCAGAAGAAGAGGTGTATGCTGACCCGGAAGGATCCCAACAGCAGTCAAGGAGAGAAGAGGAGGTAAGATTCACACTGTACATCTTGCAGGCTTTCGTGATCTTGACCTTGGCAAATGATGTTGACCGTATCAGCATTTGACCTCTTGACTTCCAATTGACAGGATGCGCAGCAAGCAGCAGAGCCCAGGAAGCAGCAGAGCCCAGCCCAGCCCAGCCCAGCCCACCGCAGCCCAACCTAGGACCCAGTGCAGCCCAACCCAGCCCAACCGAGGATCCAATTTCGCTACCAGGAAACCTAACAGAGAAGCATTTTGAATTTATTTCTTTCCTTCTGTCTCTTGTCTGTCTTCTTTGCACTTCCCTAATCTAACAAAACTAACCATGCCCTACCCCTTAACATTGATTTTGTTGTAATTTCATTGAATTTGTGTGCTTTTGTTTCTTTGCTTTGAATTTTTACTAATCTCGTCTCAGTTGTGTATTTTCAGGCACTCGGACTTGGTACAACGCCGGAGCACCCAGCCAGCCAGCCGCCACCACCCAGCCAGCCACAGATGAAGAGGAAGGAGCCCATTGCCCAGCTTTGTCTAGCGGCCTACATTTGCCAAGGTGGTGAGTTACAGGCTGCTTTGGTAGCACTTCTGGATCCCTCTTTTGCCTTATGACTTGATTAGAGCAGCTAGGGTTCTTCTTTTGACCTCCTGATTTTCTGTTTTTTCAGGAGCGTCGATCCCACCGAGACGTACAGCAGCATTCTTGGGAGTAAGGATCGACTGCGACCGCACATGGAAGAGAGGGTAAGATCGATGTCCAACCTGATTTTACTGTCTTTGTTTCATCTTTTCCACAGCTCACTTGATGAAGACTGTGATCTCTCTTAATGTCTTGTCTTTCTACCGTAGATATGCGGTTTGATGCAGCCCTCTATTCCCAGTCCTTTGAAGAGGAGTCTGCCAACCCAGGGACGGTAAGATGCTTTGTGCAGGCCTCGCTCTCTGTGAACTTTCTTCATTTTGACTTTTTAGTCTTGGCACTCTTTTTTGACTACTCCACCTTTGGTGTTAACAGGTCAGGGTTAGGCTGTTGTGGATACCCAGATGAATTGTGGACTGCGGCCTGCCAGAAGTGCAAAGAGTTCAGGGACGTACTGCGGCCAACTCCAGCATTGATGGTAAGAGGATGCGCAATGGGTGTGCGCAGTGAGTGTACACCTTTTATTCCGTGAACATTTGTTACTACTTCCATGTTGTGCGTGTGTTGCTTGGGGTTTGACCTTTGCACATCTTTGTTAACAGGTATGGGGTTGGACTGGTCTGGTTGCGTGGAAGAAGAGCAGACCGTCACCAGTAGGTAGCAGTTCTGTGATGCACTGCGGTCAATCCCTGACGTGCAGGTAAGACGCAGCATGCAAATCTTGCAGTGTGTCCACTTTCGTTACTCTGTGTTTGTGTTAAATGGTATCATAACTTTGCTGTTTGCACTCGCTGAAATTTTGTCAACTCTTAGGAATTTGTTTTGATGTCTTGATTGCTTTGTTAGCAGAAGAAGAGGTGTATGCTGACCCGGAAGGATCCCAACAGCAGTCAAGGAGAGAAGAGGAGGTAAGATTCACACTGTACATCTTACAGGCTTTCGTGATCTTTACCTTGGCAAATGATGTTGACCGTATCAGCATTTGACCTCTTGACTTCCAATTGACAGGATGCGCAGCAAGCAGCAGAGCCCAGGAAGCAGCAGAGCCCAGCCCAGCCCAGCCCACCACAGCCCACCACAGCCCAACCTAGGACCCAGCGCAGCCCAACCCAGCCCAACCGAGGATCCAATTCCGCTACCAGGAAACCTAACAGAGAAGCATTTTGAATTTATTTCTTTCCTTCTGTCTCTTGTCTGTCTTCTTTGCACTTCCCTAATCTAACAAAACTAACCATGCCCTACCCCTTAACATTGATTTTGTTGTAATTTCATTGAATTTGTGTGCTTTTGTTTCTTTGCTTTGAATTTTTACTAATCTCGTCTCAGTTGTATATTTTCAGGCACTCGGACGTGGTACAACGCGGGAGCACCCAGCCAGCCAGCCGCCACCACCCAGCCAGCCACAGATGAAGAGGAAGGAGCCCATTGCCCAGCTTTGTCTAGCGGCCTACATTTGCCAAGGTGGTGAGTTACAGGCTGCTTTGGTAGCACTTCTGGATCCCTCTTTTGCCTTATGACTTGATTAGAGCAGCTTCTTTTGACCTCCTGATTTTCTGTTTTTTCAGGAGTGTCGATCCCACCGAGACGTACAGCAGCATTCTTGGGAGTAAGGATCGACTGTGCCTGCACATGGAAGAGAGGGTAAGATTGATGTCCAACCTGTATTACTGTCTTTGTTTCATCTTTTCCACAGCTCACTTGATGAAGACTGTGATCTCTCTTAATGTCTTGTCTTTCTACTGTAGATATGCGGTTTGATGCAGCCCTCTATTCCCAGTCCTTTGAAGAGGAGTCTGCCAACCCAGGGACGGTAAGATGCTTTGTGCAGGCCTCGCTCTCTGTGAACTTTCTTCATTTTGACTTTTTAGTCTTGGCACTCTTTTTTGACTACTCCACCTTTGGTGTTAACAGGTCAGGGTTAGGCTGTTGTGGATACCCAGATGAATTGTGGACTGCGGCCTGCCAGAAGTGCAAAGAGTTCAGGGATGTACTGCGGCCCACTCCAGCATTGATGGTAAGAGGATTTGCAATGGGTGTACACCTGTTGTTCTGTGTATGAACATTTGTTACTCCTTCAATGTTGTGAGTGTGTTGGTTGGGGTTTGACCTTTGCACATCTTTGTTAACAGGTATGGGGTTGGGCTGGTCTGGTTGCGTGGAAGAATAGCAGACCATCAGCAGTAGGTAGCAGTTATGCACTGCGGTTGATCCCTGACATGCAGGTAAGACGCAGCATGCAAATCTTGCAGTGTGTCCACTTTTGTTACTCTGTGTTTGTGTTAAATGGTATCATAACTTTGCTCTTTGCACTCGCTGAAAGAGCTCAAGTCAAAAAGTACAAAAATTGGCCTAATTTCAAATAGGACAATTTTTGCTCTGGGTATATCTACAGACTATATTTGCTTTTTTCAAATCAACTTTTTTTTCAAGAACTCTTCAAAACATCAAATGTATATGGAGAATTTTGTACATTTTACAGAATGTCATAATGACGTTGTTAATATTTAACACTTCTGAGTTCTTGTAAATAAATTGGAAAATATTTTCTAATTGATGAGTATTTCACAAAAACGGTATATTATACTATATTACAGAAAGTTCTTCGATATTTTTTTAATAAAAGATAACTTTGAAATGATAACCTCAAGTAGTCATAAACAAGCTTAGGTACATGTACAATGAAAATGACAACGTGTCCATTCAGTGTGTGCTTATGGCAGTAAACGTAAATAATTAGATACATTGTAACGCTTCATTATTGACAATAATAATGTTTTATAATAATACTTTTATCAATAATTTACACAACATTTATGTATTTGATATTTTAATCAACCTGTATAAAGCCAAGTCTTTAAATGAATAAAACATGAAAATGATTGTTTCAGTTACGGTTAACATATGTAAAAGCATGCATCTACATTTACTTTCACTTTGCAGCATCGAGAAAGCGAACTCAGAAGGCAGTTTGCATTAACTCGTATATAAGCTGCATGCCTATTGAATTATAATTTCATTTTTATGCCCTGCCATAAATATGGCCAGGGCATATAGTTTTTGTCATGTGCGTCTTCCGTCGTTCCATCTGTCCTTCTGTCACTCTTTGCATTTAGCTCTGTTCAAAGCTAAGTTTCAAAGAAACTATCCAAAATATTTTCATCAAACTTCATATGCTGATAGATATTGATAAGTCGAGCTATGCAACTGCATCAACATTTCTTTGACTTGACCTTTCTTTGACCTTGACCTCACTTTTCTTAAATTAGTGTTTATTGACCTTTCAACTGCCGTTAGGGTTCCCTGTTATGAACGATAACTCACTGCTGAAACTTGTTTAGAGCAGGACAGAGGTATCTAACTGTTTACACGCAAGGCAGGTTTTAGCATTTCCCAAGTGTTTCTTTGCTCTCAGTAGAATCCAGTGGTTTTTAAATTTTAGCAATAATGTTAAACTTATTTACTGTATAGTTGTGGGCACCGTTTAACTACATATAATTAAAAATGTTAATTAAAATAAAAAGGGAAATCTACCCTCCTTCTTAGTTCTAACCTGATTAATTTTTTATACTCTGTCGTTCCCCTTCATGCTTAGTAACACAAATAAGATGATCAATTGTTGCATTTACTTGTAAAAATTTATATATTCATATAGGAAGCGCAAAAGCGTGAAAACAAAAAACATGACATTTAATTTTCTTCTTCAAAATAATCGTAAAAGAGAGTTAAAAATGTTTAATATAGTCTGTTTCCCATTCATTTGACCCTGTTATTTCAGGTAGAGTGAAGGCATTCTCCTTTTTTTGGTCAACACTTTTGTGTACAAAACAATGTAAGGAACTCTTTAGTGTACTTATAACAATACCAATGCTGAAGCAGCCTATATGTCATTCCTATAAAAGATAACTCATAAATCGATCGGCACTTGGTCATTTTTCACACCTGAGTTACCTGTCCTAAAAACACATCATAAAAGTCAGTTATAAATTATTAAACTTTTTAATGATTTAATTAAAAGTATTCATAAGTTATTATCTTTTTTGATAATTTCATGTACCTATAAATCTATGCAGTGTTTTTTACCATTTGTGCAACTTGAAAAATTAGTTGAAAGGCCTAGTGTAGCTCAGTTTTAAACATATACATGTATACCATTCAAGATGGTGTTATCAAACTTCACATGTTGATACAAACTTGCATGGATGATGCATCTAGAGAAGAACACTACCAGACTTGCTTTGGATGCTGGATTTGACCTATATTTTCCAGATGAGTGACCAGGTTTAAGTTTTTGGAGCAGGTCCATTCCTAAGGAACTATAAGCCCTACATGGACCAAACTTGCATGGATGATGCATCTAGGGATGGACACTACCAGACTTGCTTCGGATGCTGGATCTGACCTACATTTTCATTCCCAAGTAACTATAAGCCCTACCTAAACCAAACTTGCATGGACGATGCATCTAGGGATGGACACTACCAGGCTTGCTTTGGATGCTGGATCTAACCCATAATTTCATTCCCAAGTAACTATAAGCCCTGCCTGAACCAAACTTGCATGGATGATGCATCTAAGGATGGACACTACCAGACTTGCTTTGGATGCTGGATCTGACCTACATTTTCAAGATGAGTGACCAGGTTAAAGTTTTTGGAGCAGGTCCATTCCTATGGAACTATAGCCCTCCTTGGACCACACTTGCTTGGTTGATGCATCTAGAGATAGACACTATCAGACTTGCTTCAGATGCTGGATCTGACCTACATTTTCATTCCCAAGTAACTATAAGCCCTACCTGAACCAAACTTGCAAGGAAGATCAAACTACTGAACTACACTACCAGACTTGCTTTGGATGCTGCCTCTGACCTACATTTTCATTCCCAAGTAGCTATATGCCCTATCTGAACCAAATTTGCATGGATGATGCATCTAGGGATGGACACTACCAGACTTGCTTCGGATGCTGGATCTGACCTACATTTTCATTCCCAAGTAACTATAAGCCCTGCCTGAACCAAACTTGCATGGGTGATGTATCTAGGTATGGACCCTACCAGACTTGCTTCAGATGCTGGATCTGACCTATATTTTCATTCCCAAGTAACTATAAGCCCTGCCTGAACCAAACTTGCATGGATGATGCATCTAGGGATTGACACTACCAGACTTGCTTTGGATGCTGGATCTTACCTACATTTTTATTCCCTTGTAACTATAAGCCCTACCTGAACCAAACTGATCAAATTTTATACATACAAACAGGTGACTCTCGATCTCTCGAAGTTCAAGGGACCGCAAGAAAAGTTCGAGAGATCGAAGGGTTCGAGAGATAGAAAGTAAATAGAATTTTCAGTTCTGATCATCGATGTTCTTCTATTATAGATCCCGGAAGTACATGTAAATAAAGTCATTGCACGTTTTCAATCTTCAATTTACGGGTAATTCACTTAATATCAACAACAATGATCATATTTCGAATAAATAAAACAAATTCCTAAGGTTTCAATATTTATTTGTTTTTATTATGACTATGTTCACCAGATTTTTCTTTATCGGTATTAAGTTCTTGAGAAACGAATTTCTTTTGCAATATTTGCCATACAGGGATTATGTAGACTCTAATAAAAGTTTATTGTCTATGGGAACTCATTGAAACGAACGTCTATAAATTATTTTATAAAAATATGTCTCGGTTTCAAGTCAAAATAAGTTGTGAATTCGTTTATAATTTACCAATAATAACCAATTAATTATATCAACACGCGAACGACCCACAAGTGTAGTGTTATCTATGTAAACACCCAATTAACACCTCTATGACAGCCCAGGCGTTCACTGCTTTCCAGGTAAGCCCAGGTTGCATCAATTTTACGCTTGATTGGCATGTATACACGCGCAATCAAAACTTCGAGAGATATAGTGTAAAATTCAATGCAATATACTTCCGAAAGCAGCATTGGCAAACTGCTAATGCAAGAACGCCGCTTGATCCAAGGGCTGGCGCCTTGGGTGTGCGCACCCCCCCCCCACTTTTTTTTAAAATATTTTTTCCTTTAAATTTTATATGTACTATCCAAAAATCAAGGGAAAACGCCTCATTAATATCATTAAGCCTTGCAATGTTAAAAGCCACAAAATAAAAGAGAGACAAGTAATTGTAATAGAGACATAGGCGCCGGAAGCAGAAATTTTTTGACTCAAAAGGGAGATATGTAGCAAGGCCCCCTCTAATTTCACCCGTGGGCATCATTTGATAAGCTCTGCGCTAACAGTAGCTCTATTTTGGGGGGGGGGGTCAGTGTAATTTGCACTGTAATGGTGAATATAATTTATATATTCAATATGAAATAATAAATATCATACAAACTCGCATTTCAAAAATAAAAGGCAAACAATATTCACCGAATATAAGCATGTTTAATGTTATTAAACTACTGGCGAAGAAATTTTGGGGGGTGGGGGCTATCATGATATTTAATCGCAGAAATATATCCCTACCTCCTGACCAAGGTACATGTATCAAATCAACTTTTGCCAGTCCTTGCACGGATTTTATTTGCAATACCATTTCACTGTTTACCAACAATCACAATCATTTAATAAAATATGCCACTCAATTATCCTCCTTGGAAATATTCACCATTTGGAATATATATTTGAGGGTGTTCGGACCTTTAAAGATGCATCAATCATATTCTTTGTTGGAAATTGCAGTTGTATGTCAGATTCAATTGTACTGAAGTCAGAATTATTTATAATTCTTATAATCAGTCAACACATCACTTTGTTGGTTTGAAGTGTATACTATTGAAGTAAGATTTGCGATAATACAACTTGGATACGATGATAATCTGAAAAAAAGAATTTGAATATAAAAAGTTTTATGCTTTTATACACATGTTAAAATTTATGAGAAGCGATGTCGGAAGTTCGGAACCTACTTTTTTACCACTCTTTTTATAACATATGTCATAATTATTCA